CACTCTTAGGAGCTTCTGGGGCCCAGCCAATTAGTACCTGGGCATACTACCCCATGTGCCAGCTAGACTGCTGAAACAGCCCTAAGAGTTCCCTGAACCTTTTACCCACTGCAGCAGTCTGCCTGTAGGAGCTACTGCTTGGCTGTGACCTGCTGTGCACCTACCAGACCTAAATGGGGACTGCACAGCCAGTAGAGGCATCTGCCAGTGGGCTGTGGCTACAGGGTTGGCCTTTGTGTATAAATACTGCCATGTGTGCCCCTGCCCGGCCCTCTGAGCAGCTATGAACTCTCAAAGTATATCCTCCTAGCCCCAACTGGCCAGGAGGTCAGCCACTTCCTGCTGGCTCCAAGGTGCCAGCTCTGAGCAGGCAGGGTCCTGCCCCTGGCCTCCCTAGAAGGAATTGTGGTGTTTCCTATTTGAAAACTGAAAAATCCCTGATAAAAAATCCCAAAATCACTGTGTAAAATACCCTGAAATCCACATTCCTCCATGATTAAAACAAAAGACCACTATATATATAGAGAGAGAGAGACAGAGTGAGAGACAGAAAGACAGTGATCAGTTGGGCAATGTTATATTGATATATCTACAGTGTTCAAGCAAATTTGAAGCCTAGCAGTGTTTCCATCATCATAATAAAATGAATTCTAAATACCTATATGTTTTGCTGACCCCAACAGGGGCCACAGCCCTCCAACAGGGGTTACAGCCCTCCGACAGAGGCCAAAAGGCCCCCGCAGGGGCTACCACCCCCAGCCCTCCAGATTGCTGCCCTGCCTGGCCCCATTCCCCATCGGCTTCTGCAGCCCCCGCAATGGCTGCTCCACCCAGTCCCACCCCCCATTTCCCCAGACCCCCCAATGGCTGCCCTGCCTGCCCCATCCCCTGCTTGCACCCCCAGCCCCCTGATGGCTCCCCTCCACCCCAGCCTCCGGCACTTAAAAAAAACCCCAAAAAACCTCCCCCTGTATTCACTGCAGGGGCTGTGGGGGCTCCAGGGCCTCTTAGCAGAGCCCCCACCCCTGGCAGCACAGGGCAGTGGGGAGCAATAAGGCCCAAGCTGGGGCTGCTGGGGCTGTCCCCTGGCCCTGCTGTGCAGGTGGGGGGGGGGCCCAGTGACCCAGACAGGCAGCTGTATTGCCGGTGAGTGCCAGGGGGTTGGGGTTTTTTTAATTGTGGGGAGACTGGGGTCAGGCAGGGCAGGGATCAGAGGGGCTCGGGAGACATGCAGGGGATGTCGCCAGGCAGGGCAGGGATTGGGCAGGGAAGGGATTGGGGGGGGCTGGCTGGCAG